AGTGGCGGGGAGAGCTTATTGCAGATTTGCTTGTTTATGGCCTTGCTGGCAAAATAAGAAGTTGGTAACTGTTTTAGTCCTTCACCCACCCCCATCCCATTTTGTAAAAAAATTTTTTGTTTTACCAACCTGTAAAAATCAGTCACTGTGACAACCAGGCCCTAAGAGGGGAGAGGACACAGATCAGGAAATAAACCAACCCAGGAGAGCACTGGCTCTTGTCTCCCCCTACTAGCGAAAAGCCACCAGCCTGAAAAGTTCACGGAGCAGGTCCTCGAAAAATAGTGAATTCCAGGTGATGCGGGGCAGGGAGTCCCCCTGTCCACGTCCGTGACGTCAGACACAGCCAGGCTTCCACCGTCAGCTGGAGGCGCTGCTGAGCTTCCTGCTGAAATCTCCCCTTCGTGGAAATGGGGGCCAGGGGAGGGACCCCCGAGCCCTGCAGTGGGTCCTGCAGGCAAGGAGCAGCCGACAGCTGCTGTCAGCGGCTGGCTTCTCTCGGAGCCTCAGCCAGGCACTTGGCTGGCCACCTGTGACCCGGCTGGCCCGTGGCCTTAGCAGGCGTCCGACGACACAGATGTACATCCTGCAGGATGGCTTCCCCCGACAGAGCCAGCGGCTGAGCATCGCTGTCAAGGCAGCACAACTCATTAGCGATTCTTGAGAAGGGCTCAGGGGCAGGGCCAGAGAGCTGGTTAATTGAATGGTGGCTAATTTATTTATAATTATTCATATTCTTTTTCTTTGTCTCCTAAAGCCTAATCCTTTGGAGCTGGCCTGGGCCTTAGAATTGTCTAAAGAGGCAGAAGAGCAGACGAGTCCAGAGCTTTCCTAGCACAGTCAAGCTCCTCCCTCACTTCTGGACCTCAGGTCTCCTATCTGTGAAATGGGCTTTTTGTGAGGAGTAAATGAGGTGGTATTTGTAAAACCTGGAGTGGAATACTTCGCCCATGGGAAGCATCGAGTCAGCTAGCTGTTATTACCCAGTCCCACTCTCTCGTATAGGCTCATCTGTATATTCAGAAAATATTTATTACCTGGGGTCCACACTATATAGGGCAGCTCCTTGAAAAGTGGTGAGTGAAAGTATTCAAATGCGTCTGTTCATCATTCAAGTAGCACAGCACAAAGCCGGTGATGTCCTTTCCTAGGAAGGATAAGAAAGAAGCAGAGTGAAGGCTCGAGAGATGGAGGGTGGGAGTCTGAGTTTCTGGGTCAATGATACAGTGTCTGTATAAGTGGAGGCTTGGGCCATGTGACCCTGGGAGAAAGAGTTCAGGCCAAGGGAACAGCAGGGTGCACATTGGTCCTGAGGTGGGAGCATGTGTGACAGCTCCCCGGGGAACAGGGAGGCCTGCATCGCCAGGCAGGGAGCATGGGTAGGTGTGAGCCGGAGGGGTTTCAGGGCTGAACGATGCTGGGATATGGGCTTTAGGCTTTTCTAAGCTGCTGGGAGGGCAGTGATGTTTCAGTTGGAAGTTTACAAGGAAGCAGCTCTCTGATGTCAAAGCCCATCAGCAGCCCTGATCTGGTGGCCACAGCAAGGCCGGCTCATCCCCTGGTTTGAGCATCCACCACTGGGTCTCTCCTGTCAAAGCTATTACCATGGTGTTTGCTAAATGGTGACTTTCTGTTTTGCACACCCGCTCTCTGTCTAATAATTAGAATTCTTCTATAAGGAAAAATTCCCTTCTTCCCCATTTACTTATTTATCCAACGATTTATGATGCCAGTATGGACTCACAGATACTTATCGTCTCCTCTGGGTTATAGTCCAAAACAATGATTATTTTGTCACTCAGAGTGTCACAGCTCTGACCACAGTGGGGAGCTCCTTCACGTTGACTCCCGTGTCCTTCTGACATGCCTCCATCATATGTTGAGCACTTCTTTACTCTTTGGCAACACAAGACCCTCCAGGTTCATCTTGGGTTTCCCCCGGGAACTAACTGCTTCTCCAAGGAGCTCTGGTTCCCTTTATTGGATAATGGTATTTAGAAACCACAATCTGGTGCTGGGTGTGCTCATTTGCTACTGGAGCGTATTGCTTCGGAGCGTATTGCTTCTTATCCTTCTAAGCAGACGGAACTGGGAAATCGATGTATATATGCTAACCCAGGCATACACACCAGATCGATATATTTTTCTCTCTTTATCTATCTCTCTGTCTGTGTATCTAAGTATCTGTCTATATTTACAAACCTTGAATTTGTACGGATGCCTTAACTTCCAGTCCGATGCTTCAGGGATCATTTAGCCCCTCTACTTTCCTTATTTCTTACTTCTTCCTCTGAGAGTGAGAAACCTCATGGTTTTTATTTGCAGTCTATTTACTTATTTGTTCAGTCTGAGTACACACAAAGGTAGTTTCAGAACTGCTAATCCATACCCCGGTGACAAATAAAAGTAGAGTGCTCTATTTGTGTACAGTTCTCTTTTTCTTTAGCCTTATAGAATCCAGGCAAAAAAAAACAAAAAACAAAAAACAGTTTCCTGAATTACATAGACTGGTTCTGTTTCTCCCCACACCCTTCAGTGTGGTGGGCTTACTCCTCCGTAATCCAGTTGCATTCGCTTTTGCTGTTTCTATCCCATTTTGAATATCCACACGCATACACACATGTGGATGATTTTAATTGTTTACTGTTTGGGTATGTAAAATATTGGGGTTCTAAGAGTCAGAGTTAATAGACTCATCCCAGCTGCCTCGTTCTAATCCCATTTCCCTATTCTTTCCACCCCTTTCCTACCCACCCCCCATACATAACCAGTCTCTTTAGTTTCTGATTTAACATTCCTGTGTGTCTTCTGCACAGATGAACCAATCTGTGTACATTTTCTCATATCTCTTTCTTTTCCTCATATAGAGCTCATATAGAGGGTTAAAAATATTGTAGATACTCCTTTGCACTTTGCTTTTTCCCGCTACTTAACGGTGTATCCTTAGATCATTTCATATCAGCTCATAGAGATCTTACAGAATTAGCTTTTTGGTTTTTGTTTTGTTTTGTTTTGTTTTGAATGAGCTTTTTTGACTTTGGCAATCAGGAAAAAAATTAGCCTGAAGTAATTTTAAAGTAAAGTAAAATTAAATTCTAAAGTAATTTTAAAATTCTGTAATGATGATGATAAATAGTATAAGCATTACCATTAATTGAGCGTCTACTATATACCAGAGTCCGTGCTAATAAGCATTTCGTTTAGATTATCCCATTGAATCCTTCCTAGAGCTCTGGGAGGTGGATGTTACCTCCAATTTACTGATGAGGGAACAGACTCAGTAATATTTAGAAACTTGCCTAAGTTCATAAAAAGTAGAGCCACAATTTGAGCCCAAGACACTGTCTCCCAAGTTTGTGCTTTTGAAAAGCATACCAGCACCATTATGGAAGTTCCAGGTTGTAACAGTGATGGGGATTTTTAAAACCCAGGCATGTCCCAGGCCTTAAAACCCTGTTGATTGTGGATGATGCTGCCAAAGTTGGCATATTCCTGATGGCAGGAACATGAAGATAATTTACAGCCTGTTTGTTCCCAAGAAATGCCCTTCCTTCTTGAGGACCACGGGTCTTGCCTTTAAGGCAGGAGATGAGAGGGATGCTAGTCGGGGCCTGCTACCTGGGATGCAGCAATAGATCTGATCTTATACCCCGTAATCACAAGCCAGAGCAGTCAGCACCATTAACGGGGAAGTACATTACCCCACAGGGCTGTTTGGTTAGCAGGGCACTCAATCAAGCCCGAGTTACAGCAGTTTCTGCTAAAACTGTTTGTACAGCAGGAGGGGAAGAAGAATTTCTCTGAACAGGAGTCTGGTTTCTGTTGTGAGAAATGACAGATAGGCAGTTGAGTTGGTCGAGAGCTTGGCTTCTGGAATCTGAGTGCCCGGGGTCTCACCCCATGTCAGATTTGCTGGCTGTGTGGCCTTGGGTCAGTCACTTTACCCTCAAAGCACACCTCTGGAGTGAGGATAAGAAGCATACCTGTCTTTGTCAGCGGTTCCCAAGATTGCCCCCAGGCCCAGTGATTTGCTGGGAGGATTCAGTGAACTCAGCATATAGTCCTGTGATGTATTATAGTGGAAGGACACAAAACCAAAGCAGCAAAGGGAAAAGGCAAATGGAGTGAAGTCTAGAAGAAACCGGGTTCAAACTTCAAGAGTCCTCTCCCAGTGAAGTGGCACAGGATGCACTTAATTCCCCAGCAACAAGTCGCGACAGCCCGTGAGAAATGCTTTCCACTGGGGAAGCTCATTACAGACTCAGCGACCGGGGATTTTACTGGGCGCTGGTTACGCGAGCACTGTCTGCCCAGCATGTACCCAAATCCCAAACTCCCAGAAGAAAAGCAGGTGTTCAGCATAAATTGCACTGTTTGCATAAATAGTTTAGGTGCAGCGAGCCTTTCTTAGGAGAAGGTGGCGTGAGCCCTCACAAAATCCAGGTTCCCAGATGCCACACAAGGGCCAACCTTGGAAGCAGGCAAGCCTCTCTAAAGGGTAGCCGTCTCAGGCCTGTGGTGTTGAATTTTTTTCTGCATACCAGGCCATTGGGTGGTTGGTGGGTGGAAATGAGATCATCCATGGAAAGCTCTGGCCATGGTGTCTAGTATGGGAAGCACTTGGTACCTGTAGACAATTCTGACCGTCAGGGAATGAATTATGAGTGATCCGTTAGCACCTCAAGAGGAGGCTCATCCATCGCCTGTCTCCTCCCCTGTTCATTCCTTTGTTCAGCACACTCTGAGCGAGCCCTGCTGGTACAGGGCCATGCAGACACAGCGGGATTAGTCACCCCATTCCTCGAGGGTGATGCACGTGGGCTTCCAGTCTGGCTGGGCATTCATTGGTGGTGGGTGGTGGTGGTAAGAGATCTTTCAGGACTTCAGGTAAATGTGAAAGGACCCCTTTGCACCCTTAGAGTTGGTGGGATGGGTATGCAAGTGGTCAGAAAACTTAACCTCCTAATGGCTTGCTCTTTGTCTTGTCTCCCCAACTGTAGCCAAGGCTAAGTCAAAATGCGGCCCGACCTTCTTCCCTTGTGCCAGCGGCATCCACTGCATCATTGGCCGCTTCCAGTGCAACGGGTTCGAGGACTGTCCTGATGGCAGTGACGAAGAGAACTGCAGTAAGTACCAGGAGCGCTTGTGCACCATCCTGTGTTCATTCCGGGCCTCCATCGCAGCCCCCCCTTCTCTGTGCTCCTCACTCCCTTAGGCTCAGGCATCTTCTGTTGTTATACCCAGATCCTGTTCTTCACACTTCTTTCTGGAGTCCTGGCCAGCTCCCATTTATCGGGGACTCTGTGAAGTGCTCTGGGCCTGGGATGTACTTTGTTTTCTGTTCCAACAAAAAGCTCTGCAGGTGTAGGTGTCTGATGATCATTAACAAATACAGAATCTGAAGTGTAGGGACATCAGGGAACTCATCCAGCATGACACAGGTCCCATTGGCAGAGTCGATTCTCTGCTCCCTTACACCCTCCTCTGGTCAACTCTCCCACTCAACCTGTCATGTGCTTGCTTTCCTTCCCACTTTGAATTATTTTTAAGGGGATGTGTATGTATTAACATATGTCAGAAGAAATTACTTTTTTAAAAGACTATTTATTTATTCATGAGAGACACAGAGAGAGGCAGAGACACAGGCACAGGGAGAAGCAGGCTCCCTGCCGGGAACCCGATGTGGGACTCGATCCCAGGACCCCGGATCACTCCCTGAGCTGAAGGCAGACACTCAGCCACTGAGCCACCCAGGCATCCCAGAAGAAAGTGTTTTTTAAAAAACACCCAAATAGTATAGAAAGCTAACGTTCTCCATGCCTTGTGACCGTCTCGATTCCTTTCAGTGGCTGTGTGGTATTCCAAGGTAGCAATGCACGGGCGGACACACGTCCCCTCTCGTTCCCTCTGCCCGACTTTCCCAGCCTCTCAGCCGTGCGGGTGCTGAGCTTCACACTCCATGGCCCGGACACACGCAGTCCTTTCCTGACCAGCATCTCTTGCGTCCAGAACCACTTCTCACACCGCAGCTGTGGGAACCGTCAAGCATCTCTTCCCCACCTTCCATGCTGTCAGCTCTCCCTGCAAGTGGCTTTGGAACTCACAAAATATCAAAAAATATAAAAAGAGGAAAACGAAACTGCCCCAAATGATGCATTGTTAATAACTGAGCTTTTTTTGTGCCCGTCCTTTCTCTCTCTCTCTCTGTCTCTCTCCCCCCTTCCTCCCTCCCTCTCTGTATGTATTATATATGTATGTGTGTATATACACGTGTCATTCACCAGGATTCTTATCATCAGCAATATAATTGTCATATATATTATCAGTTGTTTTCAAAACATGTTTTAATGACTTGTGGTTTTGAGAAACTTTCTTTCCCTTACCCCATTGGTTCTGTCTTAAGCCCCTAAAGAGGAGGGGGACCATTGCCCGTGTTATTTATGCCTTTCCAGGGAACACAGTTGTCGCTGTGCCCTCCCAGTGGGGACACGAGGAGTATATAACTCTCCCGTGTGTCTTCTTCTTTTGCCTTATTTCATCTTCTGGATCCCAGATGGCAGAAATACGGCTTAGAGGCTGGATTGCTGAAAGGTTAGTAGAGTAGCGGGAGCCCACCTTAGGAGGAGGACACAGGTCACTAACAGGGTAGCAGCCTGATGGAGCAGGATGACTCTGGAGCTGCAGAGTCAGGCCCCAGGTTTGTGTGCTGCCCTGATTAAGCTGGGTTGGCCGCGCTTCATAATCACCTTGCGCAGTGGTTTCCTCGCCTCATGAAACGGAGCCGCCAAGAGCCTGCTTCCTGGGTGGTTGTGACAGTTAGACGAGGCGGCATCTGAAAGGTGTTCAGTGTGGTGGCTGATTTTCAATGGAGTTTTAAAAACCCGTAGTGACTTAAAACAAAACTGTGAGTGATTAAGAGGAAGACCCTATTTACTACCATTTCGTCTTTGGCTTAGGATGCCCAAGGATGTACTTGTTTTATATTTCACTAAGTGCTTTAGTGTGTGTCAGCTAGATCATAGCTTCCTACGGTCCATGGGGATCTTAGAACCTGAGGGGGGAGTTTTATGTACCTATTCATATACACATATTAGAGGGTAATTCGGTGGCAATAAAAAGCAAGTGTGATAAATTCTGGTACGTACATTCTAAATGATCGTGCCATCGTGCGTACTCCCTGCCATATTAAAGACCCTGTATGATTTAAATGTTTGGATATTGGTCTTTAATTGTCTAAATGACTTAATTATATCCATTCCAAATTAGATCATTGAGGATTAAGCCAGCATTTTCCTCTGGCATATCCACCATCTAAAAATAATGGGTTTTAAATCACTATTTGAAACTGGTAAATAAAAGGAGAGAACCTAGCGTTTATCCTCCTTTTTCTAGATGCATTGTGCTTCTGAGTAATTAAATAGCCAACACATAGTAAAGGTTTTTTTTTTTTTTTAATTGAAGAATACCAGCTATCATGGAAAAATAAGAGAATTAGAGTATCTGTTTTGTAACCCTGGTTAAGAAGTGGATCATCTGTAGCTCCCGAAAGCATTAGATGAAAAATTGATGGGGAGCTTTATAAGGGATGGATGGGGCTGAAAATGCCTGAAACCAGCCGTCCATCTGTTCACAGACGCTCTGGATCAACATTGTGCCACTTCAAGTAGAATGTGGAAACCCTCTCACCCAATAGATCTCTTCATGTTCTAGTCGTCTGAGAACATCTACATACGTTCAGAATCCTGAAAGGCAATGTTTTAATTTTTGCTTTAAGCTCTCAAATGCATTTTAAAGAACTCCAGTGGAGAAGAACAGTCTGTTTTTACATTTACCCAGAGACTTGCCATTTTACTTGCTCATCCTTCACTCCCAATATTCCAAGTCTCCTTCTGGTATCATTTCCCTTCTGGCTGAAGCATTTCCTTTAGCCATTCTTTTGAAGCAGGTCTGCTGGCAACACATCCTCTCCCTTCATCTGACACTGTCTCAATTTCACCTTCATTCCTGAAGGATATTTTTACTGCATATAGAATTCTGGGTTGACAGTTCTTTTTTAAAGCACTTTAAAAACGCTGTGCCACTTCTTCTGGCTTCTGTGGTTTCCGATGAGAAATTTGCAGCCATTCAAATTGTTTCCCCATAGAAAATGCATCGTTTTTCTGGCTGCTTTGAAGATTTTTTTTTTTTTCTCCCAGTTTAGCTCTCAGCAGCTAGATTATAGTGTGTCTGGCTATGGGGATTTCTTTGAGTTTACTCTGTACAGGATTCTGTTTGAATCTGTAAGTTTTTGTCTCTTGCTATACGTAGGACTTCTTCAGCTATTCTTTCTTCAAATGATTTTCAAGCACTCTTTGTCCTTATCGGATTTGGATAATAACTTTGGATCTTTTGTGATCGTCCTACAGGTTCCTGAGGCTCTGTTCAGTTTTTAATCAGTCTTTTTCTTTTCATTGTTCAGGTTGGATAATTTCTATTAGCCTTTTGTCAGTTTCTTTTTTTTTTTCCTGTCATCTCCAGTCTGCTTTCAAGCCCATAGAGGGTGTTTTTTTTTTTTTTTGTCTTTTTTTTGTTTTGTTTTGTTTTGTTTTACCCCCAGTTACTATGTTTTTTAGTTTTAATGTTTCCTTTTGGTTCTCTTTTATATCTTCTGGGTTCTTTGCTGAGACCACCTATTTTCCATTTGTTGAGAGAGTTTGTGTGATTGCTTGTTGGTGTCTTTCTGGAGTAGCTGCTTTAAAGTCTTCGTCACATAATCCCAACATCTGCTTATCTTGGCGTTGGTGTCTGTTGATTATCTTTTCCTGTGAGGATTGAGATTTCCTGATTTTTCACAAGGCAAGTAATTTTGGATTATATTCTGGATATTTTGATGATTATGTCTGACACTCTTGAGTTTTGTTTCAGTCCTACAGAGAATGTTGGTATTTTTTAAAATAAATTTATTTATTCATGAGACACATAGAGAGAGAGAGGCAGAGACACAGGCAGAGGGAGAAGCAGGCTCCCCACAAGGAGCCCGATGTGGGACTCGATCCCGGATCTCAGGATCACGCCCTGAGCCAAAGGCAGGTGCTCAACCGCTGAGCCACCCAGGTGTCCCGGTAATTTTGTTTTAGTAAGCAAATGACCTTGGGGTCAGGCCACAGATTCCTATCAGCCCCTCTGTGGGCTATAGTTGCAATAGTTTTCAAGCTGTTTCTGCAGTGCTGTTTCTATACGTGGTGCCACCCTGGAACCTGCACAGTGGTCTGTGCATTTGGTTCTCAAAGTCTTTGGTGTGCTGACGAGGACCACATCCACGCATGTGCAGCCTGGGGATCAGCCTAGACGTTCATAAATTTCTTTAGGGAGCCACTTTTCCAAGTCCTCCTACTCCATGATCTCTCTGATGCTTTCCAGATTCCTGGCACGCTCTGTGGGGGAGGGAGGGAATAGGTAAACCCACCACCATTTCAGCGATAGCTTGAATTTTAGCCTTCTTCCCCACTTGAGTTCCTCTAGTTTACTTCTCAGAATCTAAAAGAACCGCTGTAATTGTACATGCATTTGGCTGGGCTTCTGTTCCAGCTGCATTCAGGGAGGGAGCCAGGGCGGGTGTCATTATTGCACCTGACCCAGAATTGGAACCTCTCACAAGTCAGTCTGAGCATCAAAAGAAAAGAGACAGCCAGATGTTGTTTGCCTTCAGATGTGACCTGGCAGGAGCACACATCATCACTGTGAGGGATTTCTGCCTGCATTTGCAACCAGATTCTGATGGAGCCTCTAAATCTGCCTTAGTCAGTCCCGGCTGCTATAACAGAAGGCCACGGATTAGGGGATTTGCGCAGAAACTTACTTCTTAGAGTCCTGGAAGTCCACCACGCAGCGTACCATCACGGCTGGGCTGTTGGTGTGGGCTGGCTTCCTGTAATGTCCTCACCTAGCCTTCCTTGGTGCAGACACACACAGGGAAATCCCTTGGCCGCTCATCTCATGGGGGCCCTAATCCCATCATGAGAGCACCACCTTCATGACTTCATTTTACCCTAATCTCCTCCCAGAGCACCCCTCCCTCCGTCCTGAGACCATCCTGCCTATGAGGGGTTAGGGCTTCAGCATGTGGACTCCGGGGGACACACATAGC